GGAAGAAAATGGTGGCACCCCACTCTCTAGACCCAGAGATGAAAGTTCACAAACTTTCCCTTCCCCACTTTTCAGTGAGCTCTCATAGAAAAGCAATCACTTTTTTTCTCCTTGGTTTCCATCTGAACTCTGCATTCACTCAGCCTGTGCTTGAGCATTTTTATCTCAGTCATGTGACTGAGTTTTAAGTCTCTAAATTTTAGGGACTCCTGTGGTGTAGACCCACGCCCTTACTCCTGAGGGAAGAAGGGGGGTCTCACTATGGTTCTGCCTTTTGCTGGACCCCTGCCCAGAGAGCAGACCTGTGACCATGAAGTAGTTTGCAGTTTATGGCAACACCAAGTAGAAAGCTGGTGCCTAGACTTGTTTTCAGCCAGCTTCCCTGCTCTGTTGCCTGGGAAGTCTGCCACACTCTGTTCTTTTGAACCTGGGGATCCCAAGACCATGCTGTCTCACCTGGGGTTCCATCCTGCTCTGCCAACTGAGCACCTTAAGCCGGGGACGTCTCCCACTGTAGTAGACTTCTAAACGTTTTGATTTTTTGCTCTGCTGCTTATACTTGTGGTAGCCTCCTTATTCTAGCTCCCTTGCTCTGCTGTATCCTCCTATCGGATGTTGCGTTGGTTTCAACTCTCCACACCTCCTACATTCCAAAAAGTGGTTGCTTTTCCATGTGTAGAATTGCATCATTTTTCTCAGATCTCCCATTGATTTGACAGGTTTTCAGAATGATTTGATAACTAGCTGAATTCCAGGGACCAGACAGACTTAACTCCTCTCTCTGCACACAGGTTTCTTAGTGGATAGAAACTTTTATCCTGTAAGGTCATGTTCTACCCTGGAAATATTCTTTGCTTTGAAGTGTATCCTTAGTGGTGGGCTTTTTCAGTTTAGCATGTTTCAAGGTTTATGTCTATTGTAGTTATGTATCAGTACTTTGTTCCTTTTTATGACTAAATTATATTGTATTTTACAAATATATCATTTTATTTATCCATTCTTCTCTTATGGACATCTAGGTTGTTTCCATCTTTCGGCTATTGTGAATATTGCTGTTAGGACATTTGTACTCAAGTTTTGTGTATTTTTTTAAATTTGGGGGACATATATACAGAAATATAATTACCACAAGTCAGGCCAAGTAGTTTCTTAGCTTATTCATTACATATCAAGTGTCAATAATCTGATAGTTAAGCTAATTATACTGTTCTGGGATTTGGCTTTTTTTTTTTTTTTTTTTTTTTAAGTAGGCTCGCTGCCTGGTGTGGGGCTTGACCTCATGACCCTGAGATCAAGAGTTGCATGCTCTACCAACTGAGCCTGCGAGGTGTCCCTGACAGTCAGTTCTTTAGAATATTGAAAGATTGCTAAATAGCTAATTGTACTTGGAGATTGTATTGTCTCCACTAAGGAAATAAATTTGTTTCTCCCTCAATGCAGTGTGAAGCTGCCCTGGTAAAAGGGCATGGTATATCATTTCTGCTGGGCTTCCAGGGACACCTTTAATGTGAGGAAAAAATAAAGAAGTATCATGCACCTGAAAAGGAAAGACAAATATGGAGGCAGCTCAAAACAAGTGTTATGCCCCTTCTTTTGGCATCAGACATCTCTCCCAGTGGATTCTTGAACCTGAGAAAATACAATATTCTCTTTGGAGCTGCCAAGAGGATGATTTGGAAATAAAAATGAGTGGAACTACTGGTACAATGGCGCAAAAGGATGATCCCAAGAACCCATTCTTCTGCTTTCTCATTTCATTGGTCTTGAAAATCTGATTTATAATTACTATTGTTTTGCAAAATTGCTTGGATTAGTAGTTAGAAAGTATTTGTGTGAAGGCAAAACTAAGAGAGAGAGAGAGAGAGAGAAGGGAAAAAGAAAAATGCCCACACTCTACAGTGTTAATAAGAACTGATATGCAGGCATAATTTTGGATTGGGAATTCTAGTTTATTGAAAATAAATTTTATTTTGGGTGACAAAATATTTGAAGAACAGTACTGTATACTTCTGAATATTAAGAACAAATTTCTTTTAGCAACTTCTGAAAATATCCAAAACATGAGTTGAGTGGAGCTCACAGCAACAATTTTCCTTAACTATTTTAATAAATATGAATAATCATAAAAGATCATTTGAAGTATCGAAAGAAAATATGTTCAGATTTCACTATGACTATTCTACCTCCAGCAAATATTTCTGAGTGCCTAACATGTAGAGGGTCTGTTTCAGGTGGTTGGGGTTTATTATGAACAAAATATAAAAATTCCTGCCCTCAATGGAGGCTTTGAAAAATTAGCATATAGACCCTCAGTAGGCAGGCAGACAGAAAATGGGACTCTAGATGTGGTCTCCATCTGTTGGGATAAAAGCCATTACCTGGAAAGGAGATCAGCCAAGCAGGGAGAAGGGAGCATTCATGGTTATAGCACAGACCATGGTTTCTAGCTGATAATCTATTATTACACAGAGAGGTGTTCTGTGGGCAGCATATTAAGCCTAAATACACAATCATGGGATTTTGTCCCCTGGACTTTCAATGAATGACTGACTACCTAGGTGAATTCATTTCATTCTAGTGGGTAGACGATCTTGAACTTAATAGCAAATCCAGTCATAATTCTAAAGATTACATATAAAAAGGGTTATGAGGGAGAGGATTCTAAATATATTAAGAAACTGAGAAAGTTTTAAGAAAGAATGAAAGACTTTCTTTATATTATCACCTGTTATAAAAACAGAGCAAACAGTAACCTCTTGATTATTTTCAGGGAATAGCACTACTTATTATCTTCTTTTTTGCAGATGCATCTTGGCAAGGGCATTGGCAGCTCTAGTGTGTGATGTTCCATTTCCAAAGTCCTAGGAGGTATTCTCCTTTTCCTGATTGAAACACTCTTCAGTGAAAAATTCACTATCAGGCTAGAAAGATAGAATATTTTGGCTCATATGAGTTCTATGTTAGCCCTGTTCCCCAAAAGAGGATATGCTGCTAACAGAATCTAGGGAATGGGTCATGAAGTTTTGTGTGATATCTTTACAAAAGACAATTTAGCATATGAACATATTTAAAATCAGTAGGAAAGGGTGAATTATCAAATGGCATGTGGAATTGGATATTAATACAGAAGGCGAAAAATGTAGATTCTTAGGTCAAATGACAAAGGAAGCACTGGTATACCACGTACATTTTACACCTGAGGCTTGTGTCCTTTTTATCTTGCAGTTAAGATGGTGGTTACTTTGCTCTGTCAGTATAATGATGGATCCAGGTAGCAATGCTGACAATCAGGATAGCGGAGGCTTGCTCAACAGCTTGATTCCAGTCATCATTATCATAGAATAGTCACTTCACAAGGGCATCTAGTTTAACAACTCATATGTGCTTATTAGCAGCTGACTCCCCCTACCCCCCACAGTTCACAGCACCAAAGAGGAGTGCTTTTGTCAACCTGTAGTTTTACTACCAGTGTGTCCAACAGTTAGGCACAGTAAGAACCAGAATCAATAAAAATGCCACAAGTTTCAAATGGAGTATTTGCCAGTGTTGAGAACATCCTTGTGTCCTGCCAATTGAAAGGAGCAGCCACATAATTTTGGGGGTCTGCATAATCAATTCTGGGGTCTTCAAGGTTGAAGAGTCAGTGTTCAGTGATTCCCACGAGCCTGTCCGTGAACCAGGCCCAATTAGAGTAACTTCTATTAATTGAGGGCCCTACTAAGCCAGCAGCTTTGTTTCAGGCAAGAGTGGGGGATACATTTCCTTATAAGGGGCAGCTGCTGCAATGTGATATACAGCTGAGATACTGCTGGGACCAGGGCAGCTATATTCTTAAGTATACCATGGACATTTTACACCTGAGGCTTGTGTCCTTTTTATCTTGTTAGGCAGTTGAGCCCAAGAGTAAGCTAACAGCTGCTTTACAAAAGGAGTATACTTGGTAGCCTTGTTAGGGTATCAAGTCAAACCACCCTTCTCCCTGACCCCAAGGGCATCTCCTTTTGCCAGAAATTCCAATCAACAGAATGACTAGTTACAGAGACTGAAGCACAAAGTGGTCATTAAAGGCTGTGGGACCTCAAAGGTATCTTCTTTACACACAATTCTTTCTGTCTGGAAGAATCCCTTCTGAATTATGGGAAGTAGGAAGTATAACATATAACACATTCCTACTACACTTTCAGATTTAGAAGTAACCACAGTATACTGCACTGGTCAAAAGGGCCCCATTTATTCACAGGCTCACATTCATTTCCCTTGCCTACTGTAACCTCTGACCTAATAACATTTTTTTAAATCTAGATACTCCCTACCTCCATGTGAAGTGGTAAGATGTTGATTTGGGCACCTGTATCCCATAAAGCCATAAGTTTGAGCCCCTTTCCTCTCTCAAAGTTCCCCCCAATACTTGGGTGGGTGCCAATGGCCATGGGTCTCCACTGGAGACAGGAAGCTTTCCCTTAAAACAGCTGATGTTGGGATATATGGAGGTATGAGTGGCTTCATGACATTAAAGAAACATCTACTTTACTTGCACGAGGTGTGCTCACATTTCAGCCAAAAATCTTCCAATAATTTAAGTTCATCGAAAGCCCTGTAACAGGTGGTATCACCTATTTCATTACATTGAAAGGAGATTTTTAAAAAACTGAATTCTTTGATGATCTTTTAGGGATTCCTCAACACCAACCCTTTAATAAGTGTTGTACCCACTGACTGATATAAGTTTGGCTTACATAATAACTTTCTACCTCCCCAGCAGAGGGATGGCTATATTCAAAAGGAAACAGACTTAAACATGTAAGAGCTCAATAGAATCAAGCTTACTGCTCGATCACAAAATGTTCAAAAGGTAAAGATGTGAATGAGAATTTTGTTCCACATATTTCAGGCACCCTGGCTGTTGCTGTGTAAAAGCTGTGCCATGTTAAAGCATGATACTTTACAACTTCAAGGCTATTCTGACAGCATCCTAGTAGTGTCAGTGAGGTCTTTTGTGGCATAAAACATGAGCATCCATAGTCCAAAGACCTACATGGAGGAAAGGGAGACTAGGAAATTTTCTGAGTTATCTAAAGGGCATGGCTTCTTTCAAAAGGGCTTTGAAATATCAGCCTATGTCTATTCTCTGATAGACTTTCAGGGTTGCTTTTTGGATAAAATTCTTCCTACATTCATACTTATATGTGTGGGTTTTCTGGAGTCAAATGGCTTGGTCTTCCAGACAGAAGGATTTTCCATAGTTATTATTATCAATAGGGTTTTCCCTCTCCCTGAATTCTCTGGCAAACATTTAGAGTTGACTTCTTATACAATTTTCCAAGTTCATCACATTCATAAGATTTTTCCCCACTGTGAATTCTCTGATGTATTCTGAGGTTTGATTTCTGGCCAAAACTTTTCCCACATTTGTTACACTGAAAAGGTTTCTCCCCTGTATGAACTCTCTGATGATCACTAAGGATTGCCTTCCGGACAAATTTTTTCCCACATTCATTACACTTAAATGGTTTCTCCCCAGTATGAATCCTCTGATGAACTCTAAGGGTTGATGTCCGGGCAAAAGTTTTCCCACACTCATTACATTTAAATGGTTTCTCTCCTGTGTGTGTTTTCTGATGTTGAATGAGATGGTCTTTTCGCCAGAAGGATTTTTCACATTCATTACATTGATATGTTTTCTCACCACCGTGAATTCTCTGATGTATCCTAAGGTTTGACTTCTGGCCGAAAGTCTTCCCACATTCATTACACTGAAATGATTTCTCCCCTGTGTGAATTCTATGATGATCTCTGAGGGTTGACTTTTGAACAAAAGTTTTCCCACATTCACTACACTTATAGGGTTTCTCTCCTGTATGAATTCTCTGATGTCCCCTGAGGGTTGACTTCTGGACAAATGTTTTCCCACATTCATTACACTTATAGGGTTTCTCTGCTGTGTGAATTCTCCGATGTGTACTAAGGTGTGACTTCTGGGAGAAAGTTTTTCCACATTCATTACATTCAAATGGTTTCTCTCCTGTGTGAGTTCTTTGATGCTGAATGAGATGTCCTTTTTGAAAGAAGGATTTACCACATTCATTACATTTATAGGGTTTTGTCTCAGAGTGAGTTCTCCGGCATACTTTGTGGGCTGACACCTGGTAGGATTTCCTATTTTCATGATAGTCAAAGGATGTATCCCCAGTTTGTGTTCTGTCATCATATACCAATGGGTTCTCTTCCGTGACAATTCTCTGAAGTTGAGTGAAGTGTGACTTCCTGTTGAAATTATTTCCATTTGCATTACATCCATTATGTTTCACAGGCATGTTAAACTTACTGTATTCCTTGAGAGCTGATTTCCCACAGAAGGATTTACCACACTGGTTAAGAGGAGAGTATTTCTCCCCAATCCCAGTTCTTTTATAGTCAAAGACAGTTATTTTTTCACTTTTCCCCCTAAATTCATCATCTTTATAGGATTTTTCTCTTGTGTGCATACTCTTACATGTAACATAAGCAGCCTCATCATAGACGGCTTTTCCAGTTCCATCATATTTAAAAGCTTGTTCCAAAGTTTGACACCTTTGATTCTCAGGAAGATTTTCCTTATAACTGAGAGCTTTTCCATTTTTATTATATTCATGAAACTCCTCTCCAGTATGAGTTCTCTCAAACTTAATTTTGAAAGACAAATTTTCACATACACTATAGCAATTTGTTTTTTTTGTAGGATAGGTTCTATTCTTGATGATAAATTGGGAAATATTTTGCAAATTTACTCCCCATGAGTCATATTTACAGGATATTTTTGTTGAAACAGGAGCTATGCACAGATTAAACTGTTTTCCCAAAACTTCCTCTTCTTTTATAGTCAATGGTTTATTATCGATGAATATTATTTCCTGCAAGTGTTTATCTTGGATTTTCTTGTTCCTCTTCATCAGGTCATCATCTCTGTAATCTCCTAAAACAGAGATAAATTGAAGACACCTTATAAACCTTACATTTGTTATGGGTGGGAAATATATAGCCTATACATTACATTTCATTTATTGGTTTCCAAGATCAAATAATTTATGTGTGTGTGTATCCTCACCCTCCTTTAACTAACTGAGCCACCCAGGTACCCGCTCTTACCCTCCTTTAAAAAAACAATATTGAGGGACACCTGGGTGGCTCAGTTGGTTAAGCAGCTGCCTTCGGCTCAGGTCATGATCCCAGCGTCCTGGGATCGAGTCCCACATCGGGCTCCTTGCTCATCAGGGAGCCTGCTTCTCCCTCTGCCTCTGCCTGCCATTCTGTCTGCCTGTGCTTGCTCTCTCTCCCTCTCTCTCTGACAAATAAATAAAATCTTAAAAAAAACAACCAATATCGATATAGTGAAAATGAGAGAGAAAACTGGTAATACATACATCTGGATTGTGATAAACTGCATTTTCCTATTGGGGTGGAGAAAGAATAGAAATAAGACTTTTACAGGAGTGGTTAATTTAGGGAACAGGAAAACCAGATAATGGGATGAACACAATGGGACTATATAAAGTTAAGTACAGTAACAGAAGAATTAGGAGATAATGAACACTGATAGACTAGGCCCAACAGGGGAAGAGTTTGCTTTGAGGAAATATATTACAGTCCTATACACCTAGGCTATAACGATAGAATACTCAATTTGCTATTCCTTATTTCCATTCAATTCTTCAACATCAAGTCAAAATTGATAGTACAACCTTCCTCACAATTAAATGAAGAAGTTTATAGTTCAGGATCTAACCCATCTTATAGCCATAAGTCACAGAACTACAAACAAGTGTAAAACTGATAAAAGGAAATCTATTCTTGCAACTAACATTAGCTTCACTGCTCAATTCCTGCTGTGGAACCTTTATTTTATCAAAACTGAATGGTTAAGTCAGAATGGCTAAAATTAACAAGTCAGGAAACAACAGGTGTTGGTGAAGATATGGAGAAAAGGAACCCTCCTACATAGTTGGTGGGAATGCAAGCTGCTGCAGCCACTCTGGAAAACAGTATTTTTTTCCTCAAAAAGTTGAAAATAGAGCTACCCTATAACCCAGCAATTGCACTACTGGGTATTTACCCCAAAGATACAAGTAGTGATCCAAAGGGGCACGTGCACCCCAATATTTATAGCAACAATGTCCACAATAGCCAAACTATGGAAAGAAGCTAGATGTCAATCAACAGATGAATGGACAAAGAAGATGTGGTATATATATATATATGTATATGTGTATATATATATACATATACATATATATATATATACACACACACACACAATGGAATGCCATGAAGCCATTAAAAAAACCTGAAATCTTGCCATTTGCAACAATATGGATGGAACTAGAGGGTATTATGCTGATGGAACTAGAGGGTATTATGCTAAGTCAAATACGTCAATCAGAAAAAGACAATTATCATTATGATCTCACTGATATAAGGAACTTGAGAAACAATACAGAGGATTATACGGGAAGGGAGGGAAAAAATGAAACAAGATGAAACCAGAGGGAGACAAATCATAAAAGACTCTTAATCTCAGGAAACAAACGGAGGGTTGCTGGAGGGGAGGAGGTAGGAGGGATGGAGTGGCTGGGTGATGGACATTGGGGAGGGTATGTGCTATGGTGAGTGCTGTGAATTGTGTAAGACTGATGAATCACACACCTGAACCCCTGAAACAAATTAATACATTGTATATTAGTACAAAAAATTGAATAGTAAGTGAACTTGATCACTTCATCCTAAACTTCCACATTTCAATTTGATATGAGGGGTATATGTATTTTATGTATGCATGTATGTATGTAAGCTCTATGCCCAATGTGGGACTTGAACTCATGACCTTGAGATCAAGAGTTGCATGCTTTACTGACTGAGCCAGTGAGGTGCCCCAAGGGGTGTGATTTTAAATGGGGGTGTCACGGAAGGCCTTGCTGCAAAGATGGCACTCAAAAAAGGTCCAAATCATTTATGCAATTCTAGATGGCTGTCCTTTGAAGGTTTTATGAGTTGTAAATACCATCCTCTATCTTTGGTTCATCTCTTCACTCTCTTAAGTATGAAACATAATTTATATCTGCATAAAACTTATATATACCGTTTAACAGTACTGAGTGAACACTAGTATAATTAGAAACCATGTCAATCTGAAATCAATACTACGCTGTATGTTAACTAACATGAATTAAAAAAAAAAAAAAAGAAACCATGTCAAGAAACAGAAAACAAAAATGGCTCTGCAAAAATCCCTACTTATCTCTGCCCAGTTACAACTCCTTCATGCTTAAGAATTCACTACTTTTGGGGCACCTGGGTGGCTCTGTGGGTTAAAGCCTCTTCCTTTGGCTCGGGTCATGATCCAGGGTCCTGGGATCGAGCCCCGAATCGGGCTCTCTGCTCAGTGGGAAGCCTGCTTCCTCCTCTCTCTCTGCCTGCCTCTCTGCCTACTTGTGATCTGTCAAATAAATAAATAAAAATCTTAAAAAAAAAAAAAGAATTCACTACTCTTTCAATATTTATATAATTGTTTCCTTGATTTTCTTTGTGTGGTTTTACCATCAACATATGAATTCCTGAAGATATAACTGAGTTTTGAATTTCTGACATTTAATAAATGCAACCAGACATGCATATTTATATTGTTTGGTTTCTTTTGCTTAAGATTATATATTGAATTATCCCTTAAGGAATAAAACTCTTTCTTTATTCTACTGCTGATGAGCCCAATTTTTAACACAAACAATACTGCCTTAAGTAAATATTGTTTTATTCATCCTAGGGAATATAATCATGCCTTTCTGTAGGGTCTATAGTTAGGAAAGGAATTCCTTAGTTACAAATTATGAAAACTTTAACCTGATCTGATAACTTTTTCCATCAGTAAGATCCTTTAATAGTTCACATCCTCATCAGGACTTTGCCAAATTTGTTAATGTCACATCATACCATGTGTCTCTCATATCACTTTGTATTTTACTTTGCATTCCATGAAAGCTAATGAGAGACTGAACACATTTTCAAGGATTTAATGGCCATTTAAAAGTTCCTGTTCAGTCTTTTGCTTATTTTTCAATTGGGATGTCACCTTTTCCTATGTTGACTTATGGGAGTTTTTACATTTTTACAATACTTATCCTTTCCAGGTTACTTGTACCATACACATATTCTGCTTCTTTATGGCTTGTCTTCTCATCCTTTTAACAGTATACTTTATAAACAAAGTTCTCAATTTTAATATAGTCAAGTTTATTAATCATTTTCTTTTGATTGGTGCTTTTTTTGCCTTTGAGCCTAAAAGAAAAGTCTTGAAATACAAAGGTGTTTAATGCCAAACTGACCTTCTGGAGTCTTAAATACCCCAAGAGAATTCTGTCTGCTAGTGCTCAGGAACTCACCTCGGTGGCTCTGGTTTGAGAATTCTTCCTCTAAGAACCAAGGCTCCTCTCCTTGCTCCAACTTGAAGATTACTGCTGGTTTGAAAATGCAGTTCCCTGTAAACAGGGAACAATGGTGTATTTAGGATGGATGATGAGCTTTTTAGTTTCCAGAGTGTTAAAAGATATAGCTTCAGAAGCAGCACCCTGAAGACCCTGATTTGAACTTATTATGGCAAGTCATCAAAACACTTCTTTTATTCCTCAAAAGGGCTTAATTTATACTCTGAATGAAATGTCTCAATAACATTAAAATCTAAATAAAATACTCATGTATATTGATGCATAAAAAGGAAATGCCTTTTATTTGCTGTGATGAGGGTAAGTTACACTTAAACGCTCACCCACTGAGACGAGGTTGTTGTAGTTCTCCAGCATCACATCTCTATACAGAGTCCTCTGAATAGGACCCATTTGCTGCCATTCCTCTTGGGTGAATTCCACAGTCACGTCCTTGAATGACACAGATGCCTGCAACAGGACACTTCTGCTCAATCTGAAGGGTTCAGAATTAGTTGACAGAGAAAATATCCCTAAAAACAATTCTTATGCTCACTCTAAAGAATTTAAAACAAATGAATACAAAGGATGCATATTTTGAATCTAACTTTAACTTACATTTTGGAGGTATTCAATAAGTAAAAATATCTGTAATTTAATTTTTATATTTGTGAGTTCTATCCACATATTGTAAGTATACTAAACTTTGTTTAAAAACATTTTTAAGCAAAAATGACTTAATTTCCTACAATTTTTACTCAATACCCCAAGAAACTACCCTGGGCATATTCTAGGGTAGGGGTCAGCAAATTATTACCTGTGGCCAAATCTAGCTTGCCACTTTTTTAATAAATAAAGTTTTCCTGCAAAATAGCCACACACACCCAGTTATTCTGTATTGTTCATGGTAGCTTTTGTGCTATAACACCAGAGCCTAGTAATTCTATCAGAGATATTATAACTATCAAGAACTGAAAACATTAACTATCTGATCCACTATGGACAAAACTGGCCAACTTTTGGACTAACCAATCAATTAAAAAATAGAATAACAGCATAAAAACAACAAAGACCATACAATTAACAGAGAGGGATATATGCAGATTGAAAATAACAGGACAGAAAAAAATATACATAATTACAAGCCAAAGAAAGTTGGTTATAGTAACATAAAAACAGTAAAGGTAAGAAAGTATGATAATATATAGTAACTATTTATGATCCTTTTAACAGAAAATATAAAAAACATAAACTGGTATGCATTTGAAAACCTAGCTTCCAAATATAGTCAATTCTCTTTATTCACAGACTCTGTACCTGCAAATTCACCTCACTAAAATATACTTCTAACCTAAATACTCATTATTTTGCAATATTTATGGACACTCACAGAAAAGTAGAAGATTTGAGTGCCCAACACATTTTCCCAGCTGGATAATGCTGGATAATGCCTTGCCAAATGCTCTTTTTGCAGACTACTTAGCACATTCTTTCCATTTTTGTGACTTTTTTCTTGTGTTCCCCCACCTGTGTAATGCAGAAATGCTGTGTAGTGTTCCTGAGTACAAGAAGGTTGTTATATCCCTTAGGGAGACCAAGTGTGTTACATAAACTTTGAGCATTAATTATGGTGATGCTGCCCTTTAGTTCTTGTTCAAGAGACATTATATTAAATAAGGTATTTTTTTTTTAAAGATTTTATTTATTTATTTGACAGACAGAGATCACAAGCAGGCAGAGAGGCAGGCAGAGAGAGAAGGGGAAGCAGGCTCCCTGCGGAGCAGAGAGCCCGATTCGGGGCTTGATCCCAGGACCTTGGGATCATGACCTGAGCCGAAGGCAGAGGCTTTAACCCACTGAGCCACCCAGGCGCCCCTAAATAAGGTATTTTTAAACACACATAAAACAAGGTTGTATATTGAATGGTTGACTAAAATGTTTTGATTAGAAACTCAAAGGAACTTGCTCCCCTAGAAGCAATGATTCAGTATTTACTAATTTAGTGTTCATGGAGATTTTATAGAAAATAACCATGTGAATAGTGAGAATCAACTATATATAACAAAAGTTGACAGAAAATGAGATAGATGGATCCATAATAATATTAGTCTTATAAAATTATAAGAAATTTTAACACAACTCTTAACTCACAGGGCAAGCAGACTGAAAACACCAATAGAAATTTAGAAAGGGGTCAGCAATAACCAAGAGGGAAAATCTGGCCTGCTGCTTTTTTTGTTTGTTTGTTTTGTTTTTTAAGTAAGCTTTTATTGGAACACAGTCACGCTCATTTGCTTATGTGTTGCCTATGGCTGCTATAGCACTACAACTGTAGAGTTCAGTATTTTCAAAGAGACCACATCTCCCACAAAGCCTAGTACCTGACATTTACAGATGAAGTTTGCTGACCACTGACATAGAAGGTTTAAATGATATCAATAACCAATTTGAGTAACTGAAACATATAGGATAACATAATCATAACAAATTATTTTCTAGTCTATTTTGTATATTAAAAATAAAGAGAGGGTACCTGGGTGGCTCAGTGGGTTAAGCCTCTGCCTTCAGCTCAGGTCATGATCTCAGGCTCCTGGGATCAAGGCCCACATCGGGCTCTCTGCTCAGCAGGGAGCCTGCTTCCTCCCTCTCTCTCTGCCTGCCTCTCTGCCTACTTGTGATCTCTCTCTGTGTGTCAAATAAATAACTAAAATCTTTAAAAAAATATAGTAAGTCTCACCAAATTAGAAAAGATTACAAACATACAGTGTGGCTTTGGATTTTAGCTCAGAGATGCAGAGAGCTGAAAAGAGCAATACGAACAAAAACAAAGGTAGGCAGATTGAAAATTACGGTCTTTTTTTTTTTTTTAATCCATCAGAGAAATGAAATTGCTTAACAAATAAACAATTTGAAATCAGGAAAAAGACAGTATCTCTAGGGAGAATCAGGACCCACATGTTTGCTTACTGGACCATATGCTACCAAAATTCACATAAGATGATAGAAAGATAAAGCTACAAAAACTTTAACAACCTGTTAAAGGCCGAGATCGTGTGTGTCACAGATATATATGATTTCCACCTTTTTGGGATATTTTCTCCAGGAACATAGTCTGTTCACAGAGAGGGCTGGGGGAGAATTTTGGGGAAGTCCTTTCCTAATCCATGTGATACTGGCTAGTGTAGGGGAAGAAAAGTCATTTCTTAAATCCACTTAGATCTTATTTAGGGAAAGGTCAATAAAACAAATAACTTGAGGCCACTGGTGGTATCCCCTTGCAGTAAGGGGACAGCAGAAGCAGATACTACCAAAATGCTACCCAGACCCATCAGCCTTCTCTCTCCTCAGTAATAAAATATCTAAATGGTAAGATGTAAGTTCTTAGTGAGGTTAAACTGGAAGATAAGCCCTAGAAAACTGTTACTATTTGGCCTGTCTGGTAGCTCCGTGGAACATCCCATTCATAAAACTGTCTTCATCTGACATAACTCAAAGCTTACCCATTGCAAATAACATTTCTCTGGGGGAATGAAATTTGTTAAGAAAGAAAAAACACCCATGGGATATTCTTTACCATCAGGGCTACCTCAGGCAGTTTGTAACAATTAAAGGAAACAACAGTCTAATTAAAAAGCTTGGAGCATGATAAATACAGAAGGGGCTTTGAAAAGCTCAGACATCTATCTGGGAATCTAGAAGGTGGCACACATGCCCTGGGCTATGTGCATATTCAGGAAACATCTGAGAAAGTACTAAACTTGCTTCTCATTAACCTTGAGGCTCTGTGAAAGAAAAGTGAAAGTGAAAACAAGATAGTAAAATGCCACGCTAACTGCTGAAGGCATTTGCCAACCTATACAGAGAGCATCTTGGCAAAGATTGAAGCCTTACTGGTTACACGTACTTAAGGAAATCCTTGTCCAATTATTAGCTGACTATTTAGCTAATGGAGCAAAGACTTCGGTAGCTACACATGACAAAGAATATACGTTGTACAGAATCCATTCAACGGAGTCACTAAACAAATGACAGCTGCTGTGGAGTGGTATTTGGATGATAAATTGACACCTTACATTTTAACTGTCAAGTTTGCAATGAAAATTTAAGACATACAAACAAGTGCAAAAGTATGGCTCATACATAGGAAAAACAAACAAACCCAAAACTATGTATGAAACAGTGTAGAAACTATCTCTGAGGAAGTCCAGACATTGGACTTACTAAACAAAGACTTTTTTTTGAAGATTTTATTTATTTATTTGAGAGCAAGAGCACAAGTGGAGAGGGGCAGAGGAAGAGAGAGAAGCAGACTCCCCACGGAGCAGGGAGCCTAATGCAGGGTTCCATCCCAGGACCCTGGGATCATGACCTGAGCTGAAGGCAGAGGCTTAACCAACTAAGCCACCCACGCTTGAAATTAAGACTGGTGAAAAATATATTATGTAAGCAGTTACCAACATAGCTCTGCACTGCCTATAGGAGGACAGAAGATAGATTTTAAGACAAAAATGGAGAGAATAAGGACCTTTTATAATGGTAAAAGTGCCAATACATGAAGATGATATAAAAATGACAAACATACATACCTAAAATACAAATACATGAAGCAAAAACTGACAGAATTAAAAAGACAAACAATTCAATAATAACAGTTAGAGATTTCAAAGCCCCGCTTTCAAAATGGATAGAACTACTAAATAGAAGACCAATATGGGAGACCAAGACAGATACAAAGATATCTATAAAAAAACTCAGGCCGACACTTGCAACATACACATTCTTTAAGTACATATGGAACACTCTCCAGTATAGATTATACATTAGGCCACAAAAAAAGTCTCAATACATATTAAAGGTTAAAATTATATAAAGTATCTCCTATGACCAAAATAAAATGAAACAAGGAATCAATGAGAAGGAAAACTGGAAGTTTAAAAATATGTGAACATCAAACACCACACTCTAAAGAAACTCCTCAAAGATTAAAGAATACTAACAAGGGAATTACAAAATACTTTGAGACAAATGAAAGTGAAAACACAACATATACCAAAACTCATGAAATATAGCTAATGCAGTGCTTATAGGGAAATTTATAGCTACAACTCCTACATTTAAAAAGATCTCGAATTGGGGCGCTTGCGTGGCTCAGTGGGTTAAGCCTCTGCCTTCGGCTCAGGTCATGGTCTCAGGGTCCTGGTATCAGGGCTCTCTGCTCAGCAGGGAGCCTGCTCCCCCCCCCTCTCTGCCTGCCTCTCTGCCTACTTGTGATCTCTCTCTGTCAAATAAACAAATAAAATACTAAAAAAAATCTCAAATCCATAACCTAATTGTACACCTTAAGGAACTAGAAAAAATAAGCGTGAACTAAACCCAAAACTAGCAGAAGAAAAGAAATAATAAAGATGAGAGCAAACAGAAAACAACAAAATAAGGAACAGAAAAACAACAGGATCAACAAAACAAAGCTTGTTCTTTGAACAATCAAAAGAATTG